ATCAATATATATATATATTATATATATGTATATATGAAAAATATATCATAAATGCATGTGGGTATTCAAATGAAAGCTCTTGATGAATGTAACGTCGAGATGAGTTTATACCTTTAAAAACGTCAATATTCAAGAAAATACAGTGCAATTTAATAAAGCAAAATAATAAAACCACCAATAACATTTTTACTGATATTCTAATTCCAGAGTAACGCGATCTCTCAATCAGACATGCCAATGGGATTGCCATCCCAAATTCAAGAAGTCGGAGAAATAAACCGCGGCTCGAAAAAAGTTATTTGCTACTTTACAAACTGGGCATGGTACCGTCCAGAAAGCGGAAAATATCTTCCAGAAGACATAAATCCAAACTTATGCACGCACATCGTTTACGGATTCACGGTGCTGGACTACGACATGCTGACCATAAAAATGCACGATATGTGGGCAGACGTAGACAACAAATTCTACGAGCGAGTGACCGCTTACAAATCCAAGGGTATAAAGGTCCTGGTTGCCTTGGGAGGATGGAACGACTCTGCAGGCGACAAGTACAGTCGTCTAGTCAACAACCCGACTGCCAGAGCACGGTTTGTCAAACACGCGGTTCAGTTTGTCGAGAAGTACAACTTCGACGGATTGGATTTGGATTGGGAGTACCCAGTTTGCTGGCAAGTTAAGTGCGAAAGCGGTCCAGCTTCAGACAAGAAAGCTTTTGCATTGCTGGTCAAAGAACTGAGTCAGGAATTTAAGCCCCGCGGGTGGCTAGTTTCTGCAGCTGTGTCTCCTAGTAAAAGGGTCATTGATCACGGCTATGATGTTCCGATGCTTAACAAGTACTTGGATTGGATCGCGGTGATGACTTACGACTTCCACGGGCATTGGGAACAAAAAACAGGACATGTAGCGCCGCTTTACTATTATCCGGGTGATGAGTACGATTACTTCAACGCCAACTTCTCGATGAGGTACTGGATTGAAAAAGGAGCTGCGCCTTCGAAATTGGTCATGGGTGTTCCTCTTTACGGGCAAAGTTTTACGCTGTCCAGTAGTTATGACTCTGGTTTGCAAGCATCAGCTCCAAGACCCGGACATGCTGGTACTTTTACAAGAAGTGCTGGATTTTTAGCTTTCTATGAGGTAATTTTTTTTTTTTTTATTGAGTCTATATTATTAAGGAGTAAGCAAAATTTTGTAGCCAGTGTATTTATTTATATGATAAAATGGGTTTTTATGGTTAAATTTGGTATCGTCGAAAAAGTCTTGACTTGGAGTTGTAATTTCATGGTTTCATATCATTCTGACCAATAGTCGATTTATGATGATATGTATTTAGGCTGCATTCGAAAATGCTCTATCTCTAGATACATAATTAAGAAATGACCTTGTATCTCGTGAACTATTGACATTTTTAAAGATATAAGCTCATCTCGATGTTACACTCATCAAGACCTTTCATTTAAGTACCCACATCAATTTTTATATATATTTCATATATTATATATATGTATATATGAAAAATATATCAAATGCATGTGGGTATTACAAATGAAAGACTCTTGATGTAGTGTAACATCGGGATGAGCTTATATCTTTAAAAATGTCAATAGGTAAGAAAGTACAGGGCATTTTAAGAAATATCTTGTGAGCTATTGACATTTTTAAAGATATAAGCTCATCTCGATGTTACACTCATCAAGACCTTTCATTTAAGTACCCACATCAATTTTTATATATATTTCATATATTATATATATGTATATATGAAAAATATATCAAAATGCATGTGGGTATTCAAATGAAAGCTCTTGATGAGTGTAACATCGGGATGAGCTTATATCTTTAAAAACTTCAATAGTTAAAAAAGTACAGTGCAATTTAACAAAAGTCATTATTTAATAAAGCAAAATTTGATTTATTTATAGTTCAAAAATCACGGCAGTCACATAGTGACTACAAGGTTGCTAGTAATTCAATATTAAAAATGTAATTTCTTGTTTTTTAACATTATAGATTTGCGAGAAAGTCAAAAGCGGATGGACAATAACGAAAGATCCTTTAAAACGTATCGGTCCTTATGCAATCCGTAACGACCAATGGGTAAGTTACGATGATGTAACAAATGTCCTAGCGAAGGCTTCATTCATCCGCGAATTGGACCTCGCGGGTGGAATGATTTGGGCGCTGGATCTTGACGACTTCAAAGGTAAATGTGGGTGTGGAAAGTATCCGCTTCTCAGCGCGCTAAATCGCGGCTTAGGAGGATCTGCACACGGAAAAGACTGCACGTAGTAATTTGGCTTGAAATTTTAAATGTATTTTTTTTTAAGTCCAACACTTTATTAAGTATAGAGTAATTAATTAATTGTAATTAATCCTTGTTTAAACTTTTCCGGGTGACAATTTTTTTTTCTGTCACCTGCGAAGATTGATGAAACAAGAATAAAAATGATAAATAAATTAAACTAATGGTTGTTATTTTGGGTTTTAATGTATCTATATATTTAGATTATGGTAATTAATAATTAATTATATTTTTATGTGACAAATTGATTATACATTGGAGAAAAATTCTACAAGTTAGTTGAGAGTTTAAAAATAAGTCGTATTGTAAGTGAAAAATATAATTAATTAATTAATTAATTAATCAGTATAGTAATTAATGACGCAGTGGCTTTACAAATAATTAGTCACCTTGCGATATATTACGTGAATTACGAAAAATCAATAAGTCTTACTACCACTAATTATTATTAATTATTAATATATAAATTCTAATATATAAAATGCGAGGTATAAATTTACAAAGCGCCTAATTATAAATTTTATTAATTTTCTTACTTTTTAACTAAAATTTATATAATATATTTACTCATTACATGTCATTATTGTTTTTAATAATGCGGTTAATGTTATTACTTTTCAGCTAGTTATAACTTTTGTCTCATCAGTTTACAAGAGAAGAACAGTCATATACATAAAATAAAAAATACGGTAGCAGCAACGATGTCGATATCAGTTTAAATGTTTGGTATTTTTTTATTAAAAATTTATAAAGATTCTCGATGCGCTCACCGTTTTTTTTAAGGCGATCGAATTAATTTCTACTGTTTTGGCACTTGGATTTTTTAAAAGTATTATTATTATAATTGCACTAAAATTAGTACGTTTTTTTTTTTTATTAAGTCTACTGTTACTTTATTAAATTTTAATTAAAAATAATTTTATTGAAATAAATTTTGATAATAAAATTGTAAACAGAAACTGCAACGGCTTTTACAGTACACGCTTTACCGTTAATTTATTTATCTTCAAGGCCTAACGAGACTCTCAGATAATTATTTATTGATTATAATTATAATTATATTATTTATTATTATTATTATATTGATCATTTAAATGCCATAAAATAAATAAATTTGCTTTAGCAAATCGTTTTAACACGGTAAAGCGATGCAAAGCTGCGAACAGTCTTTTATAAATTTATTTATTAAAAAACAAAATTAAAAAAAAAATAATTAATATTTATAATTTAGATAATGACACTAGTATTTGTTAATTAATTATTAGTAATATTATTAAAGAGTTTTAAATGGTTTTATCCATAATTTATTATAGAGTGAGCCCCGAGAGGCCTTGATTAACTGCGAGGAAGCTCGATGATTCAAATGTCTCCGCTACTTATCCAGTAACAAGCAGAGTTGTTTTTTTATCTACAGTGAATTATTTAACAATTTTTTATTTAAACTTCTATGTAAAACTTTATTTTGCAAATTAAATATACATTAAATATAAATCAATAACTTTAATTAGCCGAATAAAATCGAAATTAGTGGTAATGGCAATTACGTATTTTATTTTTTTTTTTTTTCGTTACAAATAACATCGTCATATTTATTTGATATACGAGCCGGTTATCGTTACGTGACACACTATTTAACTCGATCGCTATGTATAAAATATATTACAGGCCATTAATTAGTTACACTAGTAAATACTCATATTTTATTTTATTTTTATTTTACTTATTCTTCGTTGTAATCACTGCCTAATTATTTTGATCCTTAGGTTACTTTTTATTAAGATGAGACGTTTTACTATCTACTAAGCTCATGTTGCTTATTGACTTAAAAAAAAAAAAACATTAATATAAACAATATTTTTCCTCATTTTGGTTGAATTTCATTCATTACTATTTATCTATTGATATTTAAATCCCTCAATTTAATTAAGGTAGTTGTCGTGGTTAAGGCATAGCGTCAGAAAATTCTAAATTTTTGTATACTTATTAAGGACATGATGATACAATTACCCTTAACAGCCGATCCACTCTTTTTCTCGCGTCGCACTCATTGCTAGAAACGGTACTATCTTTGTTGTACTTATGATTATAAAGCTATTGCAGTTTTATTTTTTTCTTTTAAACAAATGAAAATTTCCAAAAAAACGCTTTGCTACGAAATAGATAATTAAAAAATCTATTACGTAGCAGAGCGTTTTTTTTTTTCAAAATTCTTCTTTGGCTGGGAGAGAAATATAAAGCTGCAATCGTAGGGAACGGCTGTTAAAATTTGAAGTCGATTGACCATCTACACAGAAAAAAATATGTTCTTGAATCAAGTATATAATTTTAAAAAACTTAATCTTTTTGATTTAAGTAGAAAAATTCTTGAACTAAGAAAATGTTTCTTGTTTTAAGGAAATTTTACTTGATTCAAGACGATTACCCTCTTCAAAATTATTTTCTTGGTAGAAGAATTTTTCTCTCGAATCAAGTTAATTTTTTTTTCAGTGTATAAATTCAATTAAAAATTGGATATTTAATATTGATTGCATACGCTCTCTGCAGTTTTGTATCAGTTTCTTAATTATAAAAAAAAACTAACTGTTAGAAATTTTCAAAAAACTGACAGTCTTTAAATGTATTTGTTATGAATTTAAAAAAAAAAAATAAAAAAAAATTTTTGACCGTCTAATTATTTATATACAATGGATGAAAGTTCAACAATTTATGAAAAAGTATATATGAGGAGCTGATTGTCAAAAGGGTATCTTTTCATATTATAAAAGAGCACTTTTTTGAACTTTTAAATATTAATTACTTCGAGAATTATAAAGATTTCTTGATGAAAATCAAATTGTAGCTTCATAACCAATAGCACTTTATAGCTAAAATTAAAAAAGTTCAATAAAAATATTTATAATTGAAGATAACCAGTTTTTTGTCTCGATTAATCAAAAATGAAAAGATACCCTCTTGAAACTCAACTCCTCATATAGAGTATATTTATATATATGAAACGGATCCAGTCTTGCGTAAAAATTATGGACTACTTACTTAAAAATTCATATACTTTTGCGGCGCGTATAATCTCTAATTTTTTGACAATATTGTACCACGACAACTACCTTAACTCTTCCCAAAGTAAATATGAAATGAATTAAAAAATTTTCATAAAAAAGAACAAGTTACAAAATTTTTTCATCCATTTCTTCAATAACAATTTATTGTTACAAAAACTGTATCATAATTTTTCTATAAAACAACCCAATAAAAATCTTTGCAATAAATTTTGGATCAAAATATCAATTCAAACAAGACCAAAATCAGTATGAACGGTAACATCTCTATTATTGGGCTTATCAGCGGCCATATTGACCTCCACCAGAGTGTCAACGCTGTTAATCGGACAGCCTTTGAGGATTTTCTGGGCAGCCAAGCTCGTGAACTGGACCTGCATGTCGCTGAGGCTCGGATAGGAGTAAAGATCCGCGCGGCTCAAGCTTTTGTCCAAATTGGGCTCAGAACCCTGAGGAGCGCGCCTCGACTTTAAAGTATCAAGATTCTCGATGTAAACATTATTATAGGAGCCACCGAAGCCGTCAAAAGATTTAGTAGGCGAGGGAGGGTTCGAGGCGATATTATTCTTGGAGCCAGGGTGCAAGAGGTTCCTGAAACTGAGCGCGTCCTTGGACAAAGATAGACTGAGCTTCCTCGAGTTGTTCATCGCGTCGTTGGTGTTCTTGATAGTAGTAGATCCAGTGACAGCTGAGATATCAGAATTGCACTTGTCGATGTTGTTGGTGGAGCCATCAATAAGGTGAACTTGGCTGTTGTTGAGGCGGTTGGTCAGCTTGAGCTTGTTGGGGATTTCTTCTTCTACTTTGGGCTTGTTCTCTTTGTCGGACTCGGACTTTCCGTCTTTGCCGTTGGTGTATAGCGAGGAAGGTCTCTCAATCTTCATAAGCTTCCAGTCATCGTCGTTGACCTTCTTCATGGTGAGAAGTTTGTCATCCTCTTTGCAGGACAAGAGCTTTTCTTTCTCGATGATCATCGCCTTGTGGACCTTCTCGCTGACGAGCTCCTGCTTCTCCTTGCAGATCTTTTCCTCCTTCAAGATCTTCTCCTCGAGGCAGCTCTTGGTGGTACCGTTCTCGAAGGTGATAACTGACCGCATCGGCGAGTTGTTCTGATGGACGTAAATTTTAGTCCCCGGAGAGCCGCTGATGGTGGTGGTGCTCGAGGCGTTTGAGGCGAGAGTCACGCTGCTCGATATGCTCCCGCGGTCCTGAGGCGGACTCACCGGACTCAGGTTCGTTGATACCTGCAAGGTTATTGAATTCTGGGCTTCTTGCAGCGGCGTTAATGACCCCTGCTGGATAACCTTTAGCGGCGATGACTTGGCAGACGCGGTAATTGATGTCTTCAGTGGGGATGATGATAATGACGCTGATGATAATTTACCACTGGACACAGACTTCGCCGTTAGGTGAGTTGATGAGTGCATCGACGAGGCTTTCTGTAGTATCTATTTAAATAATTAAACCAGTTACTTTTTTTGTCTTTTTTGTATCTTAGCTATGGTAATGTGTCAGTGATCAGTGATTATGGAGTGAGCTTTGATCGCTGTATGTGTAATGAAGTAGGAGATTTAATTGACTCGCAAATATTTTTATATCTTTTTAATTTAATCATCCGACACTTAAATGTTTAATTTATTATTCAGAAATAAATTTCATTTTTATCAGTTTGTTCTTTGGATCTTTTAGTGGATTTTATAATCAAGAAAAGTTTCACCTGATTTAAAATAATTTATTGAATGTTTCAAAAAAGTTAAATTCAAGTTTAGAAAAGACATTTCTTCTTTCGAGGAAAAGTAAGTCAGTTTAAACGGGGTTTATGACTGGTACGTGGGTCAGTCAAAAGACTCGCTTTTTTATGACACACTCCTAGTAGTGCATAGCAATGTTTTCAATGGAATGTTACCGTGTATAAACTAAAAAAACTCGTATTTTAAGTAAAATAACATGTTTTTATGACTCGCTGTTTAATAGCTAAGAAATGAATTTAGTCTGAGACAAATTTTTCAAGGTTCAAGATTTAATTTCTTAGTATAATATTTTGTAAAAAGTTTATTTTTTTTTTATTAATAATTAGTATTTTTTTTTTCAAAATATTAATTTGAGAGTGAAAATTATAAGATGAAAATTTTATTTGACGAAATGATGTTGAAAAAATTTAGATAAAAAAAAAACTAAAAAAATTATAGTTTTAGATTATAATTTTTGAAATTGTAAAAATCAATATTAAAAATTGAATTTCGACGGTCTAATTAGCAATTGGTCTAACTCCTTATTTTTTAGGGGGTGATTTTTTAACATTTTGATGTAGCAATACGGCTGACCAATTTTAAAACACAGTAACTGCAAAATTTTTATATCTGATTTTTTTTAATATTGCTGCATTTCTTATAACTTTTAGACCTCAATTTCAAGTATTTTTTCTTAAAAATATTTATATTCAAGTATTTTCTATTCATAAATCAAATTTTATTATAGTTTTGGCGCGCAAACTTTTTTTTAATAAGAAAAATTTTTAAAAATCTTAAAATTGTCAGTTACTGTGTTTTCATATTGAGCAGCCGAATAGTTTAATTTTTAAAAAATTTGAATGATCCAAACCAAAATATTGTACCTCTATTAGTGATAATAAATTTTGAACTAATTATTTTTTTGTACAAATGGAAGATTTTCTAAAATGGAGTTAGACAATTTGCTAATTAGAACGTCGATTTGTAAAAATATTTTTTTCAAACTAACATTTTTTTTTTTTTCATATACTTATTACCGTCTAATTAAGACTGGAAAAAAAAATAATTGTAAAAAAATTAATGTAAATATATAAAAAAAAAATTTGAGTTTGTAAGTAAGTATGTAAGTACAAGTGTATAAATGTGTTGTGTGTGTGTGTGTGGTAATAATTTGAATTGTTAATCTGACCTTATGTTGGGGTGAACTATTCGAAGACTTGGTGCCGCTACCAGTTGAGTCGTGACTTGGTCTTCTGGAGCTATGCCGAGTGCTTGACCTTCCCAGTGTTGCAGTCTTGGCTGGGCTTGGACTATTGCTATGGCTATTGCTGTTATTATGAAGGTGGTGGTGGTGGTGGTGGTGGCTATTATTATTGCTATTACTATTACTACTATTATTACTATTACTATTATTATTGCTGGTGTGGCTATTTTGACTATTGCTGTTGTTTGTGGAGGTGTTAATGGTGGTCACGCGGACGGATCCAGAACTCCCGCCGCTGCGGCTCGGAGATGAGTTGCTCGAGTGCTTCCCGGTGGGCAGCTGCGGTCGTGATTGGTGATACGACTCGGGGTTTATGGCGGTGGAAGGAGGCAGGACGGAGGCGCGAGACGTGCAGCGACTCAGACTCGAGCACTTTGACCGCGGCAAAGTCGAGCACGGGGAGCGGTGACGTCGCGAGCTTCGTGGGGTTGAATTCGCGAGCAAACTGGTAGAATCTCCGCTCGGTTGACGGCGATGCCGCCGGGGTAACGTCGCTGATCGTACGGAGCTTGAGTCGTCCCATACTTGAAAACTGGCCTGGGATTGGTCTAATCCTTCCATCATCTGCAAGCATTTTTTGTTAATTTTTTTGCAATTTATAATTTGATTTGATCAAAGTTAATTCGATAAAAAGCTAAAGTAACTATCGTATAATATATATTTTACGATATATGTCCGTAAAAAAATTTTTCTTACTTTCTTAATTATTTAAATAATAAATTTATTACCTCCTAAAAAATATCTCATCGTGAAAAGACATAAATTCAGGCTATGACATTTTTTTTGGTACCAAATAATTTTTTTGATTAGATGTTTTAATAATTAACATAACTTAAGATCAAATTGATTAATAGAGACAATTAAAACTACCAAGAGTTATATATATATATATATATATAATAGCCCGAGAAATAGGATCGCTAATCTAATCAACGATAATTGTTCAAACCTCAAATTATTTGACACGTCGATCACATCGTTTGTATCATCGGTTGAATAACAATTTCTAACCAATCATCACTAGTCTCGTGAAAAGTTTAATTTTTTCTTTTTGTAATATATTTCTATACTGTTACTAATTTAAAGTTATAAAGTAAATGAAATTAATTTAATTTAATATTAATCAAATTTCAACAAAATGTTAATGCTTTTCTTTCCTTTTTCGCCTAAAATTAAAATTTACGTAATGTAAAACTAATGTATAAAGTCAATTGGCATTTAAATAAATAAGTAAACAATACATATTTTTTGATGTTAAAAATTGATATTTACAAAACAAAATAAATAAATAAAAAAACTTTGTCTAGTACGAAATTTGAATTTATTCATAAGAATCATAACTATTCCAAAAATTTATCATAACTAATTAACTATCGCTGAAAACAATTTCAAACTTTAAAAGGACATCAATTCCATTTAATAACTCTTAAATTATGCTAAATTCTACTTAGAAAAAATCCATTTTACAATATAAATAATCTTATTAATAGCCTGATGAAGAATAAATGAATAGTTGAAATTTCATACAATAAAAAAGACATATGACCTGATAGTTTATTTTTGATCCAATTACCTTTGATCCAATCAAATTTCTTGTACAGTTAATAATTTTTTGAAGACTAAATAAATGAATAAATAAATTACCGATGGACTAACTGCTCTAGTTTGCGTTGCCACGCTGTGAAGATGAACCACCCTCGGGTTGAACCACTCGGTTGGCGGATATTGAGCACTAAAAGTGCCCATCAACGGTGCACCCTTCCTCCGACTGCTGCGCCGAAAGAGCCTTGATAGTAAGCCTATCTTCTCTGTAAACAGCCCAGACAGACCTGATTATTAAAAGTGTAACGCACATAATGCTCTGCAAGGAATGTCGGGAATGGATTGCCAGCTAAGGGTGACTCGCTGCATATATCACACGTTCAAGCCGTGAATTGTTACTAAGTTGCGTGACTTATGGCTTGTAATTTATAATTTACAATTAATGATTATGATTAATGACAGCAGTGTTAGTAGCGAATTAGCAATGGAGTTAATAACACCCGTCACCACAACCCATTCCATATAATTATTAAAAATAGATGTCGCGGAATGATATACTCACTAGTGGGACTGTGAGGCGCGCTATCGGTGCTCGCATACTCGGCGCTTGACGAGGTGTCACTTCTTTCCGGTCTTCGTGGCAGTGATCGTGAACTTCCGCTCCTGTGAAGTCGACGAGCTGAACCCCACAGTCGCAACGAATGCCTTCGTTCTAAGCGACCGGGCACTGAACGACATCGTGCGAATAGAATTTTATCATTCGGATTTCCTGAAGGTTAAAAATAATTATTGTTATTATTAGTCTTGTAATTCTGCTTTTTTTTTAATTAGTTAAGTACATACAACAATGTTGAGATTTTTTTGTTTTTTAACTCACTACTTGCGAGAAAAAAATTTAATGAGCCATCTATTGACGAAAACACGAACTATTTTTTTTTTTTTTTTTTTTTTAATAATATTATTTTAAAACAATGATAGAATTTTTTTTTTTGTATACTAATTAAACATTTTTTTGATAAAAAATAATAAGAATAATTTTTATAAATTTTAAGATTTTTTTAAATGGAAAATTTTTTAATTAACAGAAGCTTGAAAATAAATGTTGCAGGTATTTGACATTAAAAAAATTAACTTGATTAAAGAGAAAAAATTCTTGAACCAAAAAAATAAACTTTAAAAAATTTCATCTTGAACCAAGTTAAATAATTTTTTTTTTTTTTTTTTAAGCGTATATGAGAACAAATAGCTTGTCCCGTTTTTTGAGTGATGGATGATGAGATAAATGACATGTAAATTATTTGATAGTACGTTGTTTAAAATTTTTTTACTGCCTGAAAATTATTGGCATTAGTCTAGATCGTAGATATATCGGTAATACCGTTTTTTTATGAGGTGATTATTATATTTTTACGTAGAGTATCGGTTGTAAAGGCAATAAAAGAACGTGCAATTGGAAAAGAGACCGTTAGATATGCGGTATATAAAGAGTGATCACGTTCCAAGTTTAAGATCTACGTGAATCCATCTTTCACCGCTTACAAAATGACAAAAGTGGATACTGAATAAGTTGTTGACCCTATTTTTACTATTATTATTTTATTCCTTATTTTGCTTGCCATCTAATTTAATTACAATAAATTCTCGATAAAATAATTCTTTTAAAATAAAGTTGAGTTAAGTAGTTTTTATTTTTTTGCAAATGCTCCAGACATCGCGTACAAACTTGTCAAGGACGACAAGTATAAACGAGCTTCCCTTACAATATAATGTTATTACTGCTTTCTCGTTTTAAATATAAATATAAATATAAATTTATATTTAACTTAACTTGTTAATTTTTATAAAAGTTATCGATAAACTCGGCGGCATTACGAGCCGACTAGTTATTTTATCGACTGATATTTAGAATACTAACGAGTTAAGTTAAGAGACAGAGGAAAGGAAGGAAATATTATTAAAATAAAATTAACAAGTTTACCTCCACAAATAACGTCAGCTAAATTAGTTTGTACGGCTTGATGCGTCACATTACCGTCCCTGAGGGTGAGCATCTCACCGTGTACGAGTGCCATTGCTTCGTCATTGCTCATGAGCATGCCCTGCCCGCGACAGCTCGAGACCTCGCGCGAATTTCTCCTGGAACCGCTGGAATCCCGTCTCAATCTCTTGGTCTCGGGTGTCACCACGAAGTACCCCTGCGAGGTATGGTAGATTTTACGCTCCTGCATTAATTTAGCGAGCGCGTCGTACACCAGTTCACGGTTCGGTCGCTGCATTGTGGGAAACGCATTTCTCAGCGCTGAACGCAGCGTGTCCAGCGTCGCGGCCTGTCGCTGGGATGTTAACTCCAGTATTGCCCAACAAAGTGCTTCTGGTAGTGGTGTAAATTGCCCTTGAGACACCGGGGCTACTAAACAGTCTTCAATGTCACCTGAAACAATACAATGTTTATATTTTTATTTTTTATTCAAATTATTAAGAATATTTATAAATTGCAGTTTATTTCAAAAAATAATTTGAAATCAATTTTTTTATGAAATATTTTAATTTTAAAGTTTTTGTAAAAATTTGGAAACTTTGAAAAAATTTTCTAAGTTTATTTTTTTTTTCAATTTTTAATAAAATTTCTAGGATTAAAATTTTCAAAAATTAATTTAAATATTTTTTTGGCAAAAAATTGAATTATTTAAAATATTATATTAAAATTAAAAAAATTTTTTTTGAAGCTCCAAAAAATTTTTCACATTCAAACTTTAAAAAAAATTAAACACTTTTTTTTTTTTGGTAAAATATATTTAAACTCGATTTTATTAATCCTTAAAAATATTTCCAATTAAATAATTTCTTCGACATTTAATAGCTCTATTACTTTACACGAATTCAAAAGGTCCATAGTTTAGTAACATCAGAATAATAGACGGCTAAAATTATATAATTAGAATAATAATTATGGTAATAAGGTTGAGTGCATAGTCAATTAATTTTTACATAATAACCTTACGTTAAATATATAAATTAACCACAATACATTATTTAGTAACAAGTAAAAGTAATGCCTTTCTAATATAAACCCGAATTTCGTCAAAGATACTGATAGATATATATTTTATTATTAATATATTATATTAGATTGGAGCGCATCGAGTAATAAAAGCTACATCGAGTTTATTATATACTCTTCCTCGTTTTACCAAGACAGTGAAACGTTCGCACCTTAATCGTACAAGTTTCAGCCTAGAGGGCACTACCGCGGGATTATTTGCGAGATTGTAAGTTACGGCGCTATAAAACTAACTTTGAGGCATCATCTTATAATCTCATTGTAAACTACATTTTTAACCACCTGTTGCATGCAATCAACTAGAAACTCAATCCACATTTTGCATTTTTATGCCATAAACAAACTTTTACCGTTACTGCTTATTTATACTCGTATAACCCAACGCACCTATTACTTTGACAATTAAACAACTAAACCTTGTTAAGAATTAATTCTGCTTTAATAACTTTGTAAGCTCATCAGCCTCTTAAATTAATTGGTAGTTAAACTTTTACTTTTATAGCCGATAAAATTTTTATTTTTAATTCACTAATTTCATTTTTACAAATATTGTACTTGCTGATTTTCATTTTAAATTTATCTTATTTACCGGAGACCACCTGATACGGTTTTTTACGGCAAAAACTAGTGACCGAAATAGCTTAAATTGATACCTGTGCGTAGAGTTATGCGTGAGATACGCTTAAGAATGTATTACACTCGTTTTCTGTGGAATTTAATCGTAAAAAAATAACTTTAGATTTCTTCAAGTATTTTGCTTTGCTTATAAATATTTGTGAAACAATAAGTTGACTAGGCAGAAATAAAAGAAGAGATATTCAAATTACATTAAATGTGCATTATATTTTTTTCTTATTCCTGGCTGACATTAATTTTTTTTTTATACATAACATTAAAAATAGTTTATTAAAAAAAATAAACAATCATCAATAACATTCAAACTAAATGTAACAAACTGACTTTATAGTTAGTAAAAATTTTAATTTCTCATAAATAAATAAATAAATAAATAAATAAATAAAGAACTAAAATTTTTAACCAAAAAAATAATTTTGAAACGATTTATTGATCTTAAAAATGATTTTCTCAAAATTTATCAATAAATTGTCTGTTAAAAAATTTATCGTGATGAAAAATTATTTTTTAAAATAAAAAAATGAACTAAAAAATTGTTTTCATGCGTCAATAAAATTAATTTCGATCCTTTGATCATTAATTGATTCAGCAATGAATTTAAAATAATTATTTTTCCATAAAAATAAACCACGGACATTAATAACACCCCCGAAATAAACAGAAAAATAAATTGAATTAAGCAATTTACGGAAAACGTGAAAATGTGTAACCTTCTGGTCCTAGAATAAAGAAAGTGTATCACTAAAACCAAAGAAATAACTAATTCCAAGCACGTATCCAAGGACGTGGTCTGAGAAGCTTGTACTGAAGCGCTTTTTCCCTTACATTTGAGACCGGCAAGCAATATAAAGAGTATAGGTTATTCGAAAACTCAGCGGCAGGCAGGAAGGGTGTTCTAGAAATTCAATAGGTGTTCCTGGTCTTTGGTACGCACGCTGAATACCAAATTATAAAAACGTCAGATCAATAAGTCGGAGCTTTGATGCTGGCCGTTACCTTATAAACTAACTAAATTACTTTATTATATTATAAGAATTAGAATTACTTATTATCTATTAGATTAAAAAGGATGAGATCTATTGACTTGAAGAAACTATTGAGCTATCAATCAGATTTCGGGCCGCTATTACTATTACTATTACTGTTAAATTGACCCTCGGGATTGGACGTCTTCTAGACGAGGGACTAAAATGATTTGCTGTATTGATCATGATTCTATATGATGTATAATTACATGTCCAGGTTATAATTAATGTCTCTACAGTTGACTGGTAATTAATTGTGAGCATAATATAATATTATCAAGTTGTAATAATAATGAATTACAATTTATAATTAATTCGTAATCAATATGTTCAATCGAAAATAGAGCCGCGACTCAGGTAGGGTCAAGGTATCGTAATTATGCACTTACATACATTATTCATTAACATATACTCATCCCAGAGACCTTTTTATTTATTATTGTGATTGAATAATTCAATAATTATAATTAATAATTAATCTATTTAAATTTAAATTTAATTTAATATGAAGAAATGTTTATATTGATTTATTATCGAAAACTTATAAGACGTGTGTTGTTTTTAATATGTGACGCCTTGTATTTCATTATTAGGAAATAGTAAAAGCAGCATTTATTGAAGAGCATGACGGCTGGTAGATAAACAACATCCGGATCTTCTTAACGATACAATTTCTACGCACAGTTGACTGCACATTACTTTATACTTGATATGTTTTATATTATATTATATATATATATATATGCGAACGTGACGATAGGAAAATGGAAATATTCTTAGCATCAATGAATGGCTTACATCGATGATTGATATTGGCGTCATTGCATGCATTTCATTTGATTTATTCAATTAATTATTTATCCGATGGTGAGCTGAAGATTAATCGAGAGGAAAAATTGATAATTTACAGATGTTTTCAATCTTTAAAGCTGCATCTGATTTATCGTTTAGAAATTAGAAAAAAGAATTATTTAGTTAACTTACAAGAGTTCGAATTTTGGATTTATTAGTTCATATTTTAATTTTTTTAAATTGATGTGTAAAATTTTAAATCTCAACATTTTTGCAACTATTATAAATTTTAAAGTACCTGAGGAATTTTACTCGATATATATTTTTTTTATTCAATATTAATAACAAAATATTTAAAAATAAGACTTTAAATAGTAAACTTTGATTAAATTATAAATAATACAGTTGGTTAAAAATTTTCTTAGTAAAAATTTTTTTAAATCTTTTTTATTGATATAAAAATTTTTTTTCAGACCAATAAATTTAAAATTATGACAAATATTTTTGAAAATTATAAACACCAAGAGAAAAAATTTTTAATCTAAATAATTATTGTGAATTTTTTCTAATAAAAGAGTTTTTAAAAATTAAAAAAATATAAATCTGTCTTAAAAGTTCAATAAAATAAAAAATCCGTCTAGACAAATTTTAATAATAACTGTAGAAAGGATCAAAACACCGTAAGTGGTAATAAATTAAAATGAAGAAAATATTTTTGTATTAAAAAAAATATGGGAGATTACATTTATATTACACTATAGCCCGAAGATGATAATAACACGGGTAATGTAATAAAGAAAGATTAAAGAAGAACATAAATAACATGAAGCTGCTCAAGTAGAAGCCTAAACGAGGTGTTTGTGACAAGATAACGTGACACTTTTAGCGAAATATCTTCATACTTGCTCAAGAAACATAACTTTAATATTATCCCTCCATACAAGCACGGTTATATTTAATGTAATATAAACATAAGCATACACTAGTGTTAACTTTGGAATTTAATAAAAGGAAAACAAAAATGGAACTGCCATTCAAAAGTACATAAATTGCTCGAGATCTACTTAAAGCATTTATTTACAAACCACAGTAGAAGCTGATTGAAATCTTGTATTATCGTTCTTAAGATTTATAGATTAAAAATCTAAATATGTACAAATGTTGCACGTGTCGTGGCTCATGCGTAACCAAGACGGGAGTGGTCCACCTACGAGCGGTAGTTTTTAATTATTTCAATTTAAATGTTTTATTTATTAAGAGAGAAAATACTAAATGTCTAAGCCTGTACTGTTCGACAGCTCCTTCTGTTTTTCTACATGTAATATCTGTTTGTGTTGCATTAAATCAACAGGTGCGTAAGTCATACAATTAAATAAATAATGCATCAATTATTACATCAAATATTGAATCTTCAATTATTTTTATGCGAAAAAATTAGTATGTAAATATTTAGAATTCAAATATTGCGCAACTTTGGTGTAATAATTGTGAAGATAGTCAAGTTTATTTAATGTCATTGTAAAAATTTTATGTGATAATGATCCTTGAAAGTTATGAATAATTACTTTGCTTATTATTTTTGCAGAAAATTTCCAGTATTATTAATAATTATTTAAATTTTTTATTAGAATTCTTGTTGGATTAAAGATACGAGAAAATTCTTAACGATCTTTTTTATAGATAGTTAAATTTTCGACAAAAAAGATTATCAATTAATTTTTTTGCATCTTCAATATATTATCCATGAAATGAATTAAAAATTTTTACAAATATTTTTCATTTATAAAATTTTCAAAAAATTAGATTTCAAATTTTGTTAAAAAAAAAAAAAAGATACGACAAAATTTATAAGAATCTTTTTTATCAAAAATTAAATTCTCTACAAAAAAAGTTCTCTTACAACTTTTCCGTATCTCCAATAATT